TCCAGCTTAGAGGGGCAGGGCTCACAAGGCCCTTCTCCAGTTAAGGAGCTTTTGGCAGTTGATGGTGGCTGGGAAGAGAAGCTTAGTTCTTCTCAGGGCTGTAGACTCTCTCAAGCTTCAGTGACTATGGCACTGTTTAGACTCAAGCTGGTTATTGAAAGAGACAAACAGGACAACGTGTTAGAGGAGGTTGTGGTGGGGAGAGATCCAGGAGTTGGGGGTGGGGAGAGTGGGCATTGGCTATGATCGAGATACATTGTATGCACGTGTGGAATTTCAAGGGAAAAGTAAGAAAGAGAAGGGTTATGTTGATCCCTGATGGAGTGTGATCTTGCAAGTATGTATTCATCAACATAGACCCTGGACACAGTTGCTCACGGTCAGTGGAAACAGGCTTTTTATAACGTTTTCAAAATTATTATTTTATGTGCATGGGTCTATAGACTGCATGCATGCAGTATACTTGGAGGCCAGAAGAGGGCGCTGAATCCCCTGCAATGGGAGTTACAGGTGGTCATGAGCCACTCTAACAGTGGGTGCTGAGAACTGAACTTGGGTCCTCTGGAAGAGCATCTAGTTCTCTTAACCACTGAGCCATCTCTCTGGACCAGTGGAGACAGTTTTGAGCGATGTCTTGAGCTCTTGGGAAGGTGTTGTGGGCCAGTACACCGTGACTCCTGACTTCCAGCCCTGCATTCCAGTGAATAATCTGAACCTTCTTAATTCCTTTCCCAGGGTTCACGCAGTTTTCTTTTTCTGTGGCTTTGAGACAATGGGGTAATTTTTTTCTTCCTTGAATTAATTAATTAATTAATTTATTATTATTTTGCCTGTAAATCTCAACTGTGGTTTTTGTTTTCAAAGAGTGTGTCCTGCAGAAGTCATGTGTGTCAGAGTACTGAACTCTATGAAACCCCTGTGGAGAGGTCCAAGATAGATTCAGCTCTAAAACATCCCTAGAATATTCTAGAATACTTTTTTATCTACTAACCATATGAAGAAAAAATATATGCATGTGCATATATACTACACACACATACATAAATATATGTGTATATGCATATATATATATAATTTATTAAAAGTACATATTTTAAAAAAATCAATACCGATTGCCTTTTCTCACGAGCAGTAGAGATTTGATTTTCTTTGCTGGCAGCTTCCAAGGTGTGGGGTAAGAACCCTCAGGAAGGTGATCGTGCCCCTGGGCAAGTATCACTGTTAATCATCACAAGGAGGATGCTTCTCACTGTGGATAGTCTTGTTCCATACAAGCTGTCATCAGAAAGACAAGGCCTACCCCAGGGACAGTGCACACATGATTTTCTTGCTCAGATTCATTTATATTTGGAGGCTAGGCTTTGGTTGGAGGGAGGGCAGAGCTTCTGCTGTTTGGAGATGGGGTTGCACTAGGAGCCAGAGGCATGGACTCCTGTGTGCACAGGCCAGAAATGGGGAGGTTTATCTACCAACCATCCTCAAATCCTGTCCAGTGGAAAGGAACCTCAGTGAGGGCCAGCATGCTGGGTCTCCACAGTCACCACTAGATGGATGGATTCCAAGTCTCTAGGCTCGCCTGGGGTGCAGACCAGTTTGCTGCTCTGTTGGACAGTGACAGGGTTCGCTATCTCAAGGGGGCATCTTCCCCTCCCTTTCCTAACTGTCCTCTTCCTCATCCTTCCTCTCCTACTTCACTCTCTTTCTCCTCTCTTCTCTCATCTGCTTCTTTCTCTTTCTCCCCTCCTCTCCTCACCCTCCACTCCTCTCCTCCCCCCTCTTCTTCTCCCCCTCTCTCCTCCTCCCCCTCCTTCTCACCTATTCCTTCCCTTCCCCTCCTCTCCCCTCCGCTTTCTTTCCCCCTCCCCTCCCTCTCCTCTTTTCCTTCTTTCCCTCTTCTCTCTCTCTCCTCCCCTTTCTTCTCCCCTCTTTCCCCTCTATTTTAGTCAATTATTATCTCAGGAGAACATAAAAAATTCAAGCCAATGTTTCTATGCAAAATCCAGACTGAAGCCTTTTAGGAACCCAGAGCTTGTGACTCAGAAGTAAGCAATGGTCTTTCCTTTCCCAGCGCTGGCTGGAGCTGCTCCCCACAGAGAGAGTTCCTGTCTCACTCCCCTTTCATGCTGAACTGACAGGCCTGTGCCTGGCTCCAGAGCAGGTGTGAGAGAAACATGCAGCTGTCTCTCACATCCCGAGGGCATCGATGCCAGGACTCCCCAAAGACACCCAGATCCTTAAATTCGAAAGTCCCTCTTATAGAATAGTTGTGTTTGCACACACAATCCACTTATCCACACACTTTATATCATCTTTAGATTACTTACAGTACAAAGCTACATAAATATTTATACTGCATTATTTAGGAATTGATGGCAGTAAACAGGAAAACATTTGATACCAGATGCTTCTTGTTTTATTTTTTTTTTTTGAGACAGGGTTTCTCTGTGTAGCCCTGGCTGTCCTGGAACTTTCTCTGTAGACCAGGCTAGCTTCAAAGTCACAGAGATCTGCCTGCCTCTGCCCCCTGAGAGCTACATTAAGTGTGTTCCACTAGTGTCTGGCATCAATACCACATTTGTAAAAAATGCTGAGTCCATGGTAGGTAGACACCATGAATATGAATTCTTTAGACATAGAGGGCCAAGTGTATATTGTTATTCTTTAAAATTCTGTTTGTTCTGTGGAAAGGGAAGTCCTGGACCACTGAAACTCACATTTTCAGTTTGCTGAACTTTAAAAATTTATTGGGAAAGTTGTTCCTTCCCCATAAGAACTACTTGATAGGAGTTGTGACTTTGCCCCCTGTTAGTGTAGGAGATAGAGAGACAGAAGCACAGGGCCAGGGGCTTCCCTTTGGAAAAGGATACCAGGTTAACGAAGAATTGGATCAACCCATAGAGAATACATTTTCTCAGGATGTAGACCAACCTAGGGCTTTAGGCTGGAGGCTTCCAACTCAGAACTGGTGAATCAGGGGTTCAAACTCTTTCTGAGATGTCTGTAGCTCTGTTTAAGGCTTCTGACTATTTTGAAGTATACTACCAATAAATGTGGGCAGAGTGTACTTTGTTCTCAGAATGTGGAGCACACGTGTAATTTGCATGTGAGCAAAGACAAGGAAAGAGCCATTTCTCAAACTCTGAGAGCGAGTTACATGTTACATGTTACATCTCTTCTGACATGCTCATGACTAGTGTTGATGCCAGAAAGGTCCACAGGATTCTGAGGAACAAACCATTAGCCCTTTTCCCTTTCTACTGGAAAGGAAATGTTTGCTAAGGGTGGCAAGGGTCAGGTGGAGAGAGATACAGAACACAGAAAAAAAAGAACAGTTCTTCTGGTCTTATGAAAGATAGCCAGAGAGGGGGCAAAAGTAGCAGTTTTATTAAGGCTTTTTGTCTTTTGCTTTTTTTTTGAAAGGTTTACTTCTTCCCCTTTGGCTTGATAACAAATAGCTACAAATATTTAAATGAGAAATGCCCTAAAATCATTCAAAATAAGCGTCAGACACACACCAAAATCTAATTTCATTAAGTATTTGGAAGTTTAAGATATGTTAAAAATTCACCACTAATTTGCTTTCTAAATAGCTTTAAAGAAGGTAAATGGGGGGCTAGGGAGATGGCCCATCAGTTTAGAGCACTGGCTGCTCTTGCAGAGGACCCTGGTTCAGTTTCCCAGAGCCTACTGTGCTTCAACTGTTTTGTTACTCTGGTTCTAGGGAATTTGGCGCCCTCTACTGGCTTCCATGGGCACTAGGCACGCATGTACATGGCACACATACATACGTACATACATACATGCAGGCAAAACTCTTATGCACATAAAAACAACAATCGCACCACCAACCAAATCTTAAATTTAGGAAAATTGAAAAGTGAAATGACTAGACATCCCAGAGCATATTTAAGGTCAAGATACCCAGGCACAGTATTTCACACCAGAGGGTCTCAGCTGAATGCCTTTCTCACAGAAAACCCAGGGTGAAACCCATCTTACCTGTGGCTTCCACCATTCCCTCTAGGATGACCACAATCTCCAGTTCCTCTTTAGGCAGCTGGGCTTTGGAGATCTCCCAGAAGGGACTCTGTTGGTTAATTTCATGGCTAATAATCAATGGTGACACCAGAAAGAGCCGGTCGTCCCCCGTGTAGTACCCTACGTTGATGTCCGTCTGGTTGAGGGGAATGAACTCCCCCTCTGAAGTCTGTTTGGACTTGATCAACTTGGCTCTGATGGAAGCCTCTACAATGTGGGAATTCCTCAAGTCCCCTACCCGGAACATCAGACACAGTTTCCCATCCCGCATGGAGATCACTGCGTGGGTGGAAAAGACCAGGGTCTCTGCCCTCTTCTTGGGTTGGGATATTTTCACAAACATACATCCTACCATGAAGGCGTTGACAATGGACCCCAACACGGACTGGATTAAGAGGAGAATAATTCCCTCAGGGCACTTGTCCGTGATGACCCGGTAGCCATAACCGATGGTGGTTTCTGTCTCTATTGAGAATAAAAAAGCAGAGACAAACCCGTTGAGGTTGGTAACACAGGGAGTCCACGAGGGGTCCTCTATGTGGTCCATATCTCCCCGGATGTATGCAATCAGCCACCAGATCATCCCAAAGAAAAGCCAAGTCACTGTGTAGACCATGACAAAGATCAACAGGTTGAATCTCCACTTTAGGTCCACCAGGGTGGTGAAGATGTCCGTCAGGTATCGATATGTCTCCCGCACGTTGCCGTGGTGGACGTTACACTTCCCATCCTTCCTCACGTACCTCTGGATTTTCCTTTTGGTCCTGTCTCGGCTGATGTGTCTTGGCAGGTCATCCCTGGCCTGCTTAGGCAACTTTGGCTGGTGAATGGCCACTGGGCTCTCCACATCCTGATCCATGGAATCACCCTCCAGGACATTAGCTGTCAGTTTGAAGGAAAAAAAAAAAAGAAAGAGTCCAGATGAGATGCTATGTTTTGTTTGTTTGTTTTTGTTTTGTCAGGTAATGGAATCACACAGTCTATGGCAGGAAACCCAGTATCATGTTTGCACTGATGAAGTAGGCTAACAGAGCCAATCTCACTCGGCACCATATGGACAGGTCCTCAGTTGACTTCTGGGTGCTGAGGTCTAGCATGTGCAAGTCTTTTGCCACCCAGCCCACCAGGATGAAGCACAGAGCTGTGACATTGACCCCCTGCCACACTGAGACTGCTCTCGTGGAGGAAAACCTCCGTTTCCTGACTGTATCTGAGGGGCTGAAGCATGGGAGAGGCTGCAGGCTCTTTACAAAGGAACTGTGGGATTCAAGCAGTCCTGGATGTATCACTTAGCAATATGCATGTCCTGCTGCTGTTATGAACTGAACAGTGATGTCCCCAAACATACAGGTGAAGTCTGAATGTCCAGTTTGAATGTCTTCAGGGATTGAGTCTTTTGGTAGTTTATCTTGTCAACTTGGTTAGATTTAGAATTACCATGGAAACACATCTCTGGGTATATCTATAAGGATGTTTCCAGAAAGATTCAACTGAGGAGTAGAGGTCTGCTGTGAATGTGGGCACCTTTCTCCCACACTGGGACCCACACTGAGTAAACAGAAGGAAGGAGAAAGCAAGCAAAGTGTGGACATTTGTCTCCCTCTGCTGAGTGGGATACAATGTCACCGACTACCTCACACTCCTGTGGGATACAATGTCACTGACTACCTCATGCTCCTGTGGCCATGTCTTAAAACTCTGAGCAGAAAGAAATTTCATTTTTTAAATTGCTTTCCCTAGGTGTTCCGTCATAGCAACAGGAGAAGTCGTGAGTACAAGCTTCAAGGAGATCATTACAGGCTGAGCAGGACCTAAGCTAATACAACCCACGCCATCAGAAGAAGAGACACCAGGATACACATGAACAAAAGGAAGGCTACACAGAGTGAAAGACACTGTCTCTAAGATGCACGTGCATGCGTGCACATACACACACACACACACACACACACACACACACACACACAGAGAGAGAGAGAGAGAGAGAGAGAGAGAGAGAGAGAGAGAGAGAGATCTCTAGAAACCAGTCCTGCAGAGAACTTGACCTTGGGCTTCTAGTCTCCAAGACAGAAAGATAAGACAATGGATATCTATTGTCTGTTACAACAGCTTGATCTGGCAAATCCACTGCCCAAATGCACAGCTTCCATTTCTCATTTGGTCATTACAAGGGAAACTGAAACCTCACAGGTGACAGGGGCCTACATGATATATCCTTAAACATACTTCTTGCTTTATTAATCTTTAATTAAATTGCTTTATTAATCTTTATGTCCAGGGCAAGGATTTTGAGCAAGTTCTTTATGTACTGTTGAGACTTCAGGGCTTAAACATTTTTCTGGATTTTGTGGGTAAGGATGCATGCCTCATGCTTCCATGGTTGATTCAATGCCAAGGTTAAAAAAGAAGCGTGGCGAAACGTTCTCACTCTGTGTATTCACACGTTTGGTTCGCTTTCTGCCTCAGCTCTGAGCATCTGTACTTTGGCATGTGGAGTTATTTCTTTCTGATGGCCTTCTTGAAGAATGTACCACCTAGCAATGCAGTAGGAAAGCTCTCCCTGAGCAGAGTGCAGAGGGAATTTTAGAACGGACTCTTCTATTAAATGCATAGAAGCCTTTAATGTCTGCAGTGACTTGTTTAGCCAGTGATTTTGGAGCTGCTGAAAGTTTTATGAGCAATCCCTCCCCAAGGTTTTTGCTATGGCCCTTCAGTTGAGCTAGGCATTTGCTAGTTGTGGATGAGTTTTCCTCTTGGTTCAGGAGGAAGAGATGAGGTCTGATGAGAAACCATCATGCATCTGAATAAGAAAACAGCCAGAGCTGGGACTGGAGTGGGACCCACGTATGGATCAACCTTGCTTGTGTTGGTTAGTCCTCTTTAAAATCAATTGCGTGGATCAGCTTTTAAATTTCTATCTGAGGAAGCGCCAGATCTATAGAGCCAACTGGCTGATTTGATAGCTTTGTCCTTTAGGTCATTGACTTCAGTGGCCCTTCAGTTTTAGACAAGAAAATTTGCCCCCACCCCAACTGGTACAGGGGCTGGAGTGGGGGAACAGGAAGGCCCATAGCTGGGTAAAATATGTGGGTAGAGGGTCTCATCCAGGCCCCTGCCAAAGCCCGTATACAGGGGGATGCTTTTGGTCTTGTAGGATTTCCCCTGAGCTTTCACTGTTCATCCTTCCTCAGTGGCCTCTAAATAAGACTCTATGTGGTTGACCACTGAGATCAAACTGGGGCAGTCTGGGAAGGCTTGGTCTGCAAGCTCGCAGAGACTCCAGCAAGCCTGAGGTCTGGACCACTGGCAGGTATGATACATGGCCGCTCTGAACCTTTGCCTCTCTGAGTCCTGAGGTGGAAAGAGAGGGTTTGTATACTAGCTACTGCCTTCTGGGTGTTCTCTACGCTGATACCCCGGAGCAGATCAATACCCAACTAGAAGCTGCTTTCCCCCCATTTTTTGACTCAATGGCTTTGCTCCAAGTGTTCATCGTGAAGGGAGGACCCTCTCTGATAGGCTCAGGATCTGACAGTGCTCTGGCAGTCAGGTGAGACTGTCTGCTGACTCCCTGGGGTGGGAAGGACATTCTTAGCCTCTTTGTTTTCAGGACTCAGAAAGGTAGAGATCACAGCAAGGCAAGCAAAGACAGACAAACACTGGGCCCTCAACTGTTACCTTTTGATTTAAATTACTTTTCCCACCACTGTGACAGGACACCCAACAACAGCCCTCCAGGGAGGAAGGGGTTAATCTTGGCTCACAGTTTGAATGTGAGTTCCACCACAGTGGGGGAAGGCATGATGGCAGAAGCCGGTGGCACTGGTTACATCCTCTGTCTTAGGAAGCCTGTCTCCCTATATGGAGTCTTGTGTTGGCTGCTTTCTTGCTTTTATGACCCCTAGCCATGAGATGGGGTTGTCCAGAGGTAGGGTGGGTATCTGCCCCAATTAACCAAGTCTAGAAACTCCAGAGTCTTGTTTTCTAGGCGGTTCTAGACCCTATCAAGTTGACAATCATCACCCCTGTTGAAGGATCAGTGTGCATTTTCCTCTGATCCCTTCCCATGCCCTCAACCCCTTTGTCATAAACACAGACCACATGTTTATAGAGTGGGAAGCCCTTATGATTGGACCAAGCTCACACAGGCAGGCTTTGAAAGAGAGCTAAAAACCACGGCCAATGAAGACAAGGGGCGACAGCTGCTGAAGACCCAGCTGGTGGATTCACTTGCTCAGTTAACTTAAAATCCGCTAACCTGGATGTCACACTTGACCCTGCTCATTTTTTTTTTTTTATTTTTTATTTATTTATTTATTTTTATTGGATGATTTATTTACATTTCCTATGTTGTCCCCTTACCCCATCCCCCACCACCCCCTCGGAACCCCCAATCCCCCTCGCCCCTCCTCCTTCTTCTCTGTGGATGTAACCTCTATCTACCCCCCCCCCCCCCCCCCCTCCCCACCCTCAAAATTCTCACCCCCTGGGGCATCCAGCCTTCATGAGGTCAAGGTTCTCTTCTTCCACCTATGCCCAGCAGGGCCCTCCACTTTTACATATTCAGCTGAAGCCCTGGATCCCCCCCTAAGTGCTCCCAGGCTGGTGGTTTAGACCCTGGGAGCTGTGGTTGGTTGGTATTGTTGCTCTCCTCATGGTGCGGTAAATCCTTTCAGCTCCTTCAGTCTTCACTCTAACTCCTCTATTGAGAACCCCATGATCAGTTCAATGGCTAGTTGTAGACCCTGCTCATTTTTGATAACACTCAAATGCATGGATTATGGTTTTGGTGTCTCTTAAGGAACTGTCAAGGCCCCATTAGATGCTACAGACACCAGCTGGACAACTAAGGTAGGACCAAAGTCTGACTTGTCTGCCTTTATAGCACTCTGCCTAGGCTTGATCCTGTTCTACTCTGTTCTGTGCACAGATCTGCCTATCATTCAAGAAAGGCTTTCACTGAGACTAGAACTCAGAGCTCACCGAGGCTGAGATGTGTGCGCATCAGAGGAAAAAAATCCATTTAAAAATGACATCCATCATTCATCAATGAGGACAGAGCGTTAGGCGCCACATCCCCATGCCGATGAAGACTCGCTGTGTCCGGTGTGACAGTCTGCTCACCTCTGCTCACTGCTGCCTCCTTCTGGTTTGAGTCAGGCAGCTCCAGCTGAGGTCCCAATAAAGACTTTGCCTAGTTGGTAATAGGTGACTCGGCTTCATTCCTGCTGGTTCTGTGCTGCAGAGTGCTGCCACCTGGTGTCTAGGTGGTCTCAGTGACAGTCATGCTCTACCTAGAGTGGGGTATGATTTCCAGGACCAAGGTTTTAAATGTCCCCTTTTATATTCTTGCCTTTTCTATGGTATGGGGGTCACAGAAGTCCAGAGGTGAAAGATCCCAGATCCTGAACAGTTTGGGGAGCTGCCATCTGTCTAGGAGCAAGAAAAACCAGGTCCGTGGTTGGGTGTTATATATTTAGCCCCTGTTATCAAATCTGTCTCTACTTTTGTCCCCAGTGTTTGCTGGGGGACATACACTGACTCTAAGAAGAGTCACCAGGCAGGGAGTAGTTAAGAGAAAAACTGAAGAAAGGCAAGGATGGAGTGCCTGTGTTTGTGTTTGTGAGAGTTAGCATGTGGCTAATTGAATGCTCTGCTTAATGGTGGGGGAAGTGTACATTCTCCACTTCACTGACTTCAAAAACAAGCAAAGGGAGCCAGGGCTCCTTGAGCGTGTGGTGAGAACATTGTCTTGGTGGGGCTCCTTCCTGCGAGAGGCAAGAGGTGCTGACCACACACACCATGGAATACTGGAGAGTGGGCAGAAACCTCACAGAGTTGCAAGAAGAACCGAAGAGGATAGTACTGGGAAGAAGAGGCTGATGTTGGAGGCTGGGTTCCCAGAGGAAGGACAAAGGCCAGGAGAGTACTATACAGGATGGGCTAGGTAGCAGGACCAGGGACATCACAGGAACCATGTCTGGGGAGAAGGGACCACTGCAGCTGTGAGCTGTGAGCAGTGCCACATGTCCATGTGCAGATGCATTCAGAGGGATTATAGACGGAGACACCACTGGTGGCATTTAACAGTTCTTTCTCTTACAATGCGTGTGTGTATTTGAGGGATGATCTGAGTGACATTTCCAGAGCATTCTGAGCTGTGTGGCAGCACAAGCTGCAGCTGGGCTGGGGAACATTTCTTCTGCGGCTTTGCACAGCCGGGAAACAAACAGTATCTTTTGAGCTTCGTGAAGGAGAAATGTCCCCACAGACTCAAGTGTCTGAATGCTTCATTTCCAGCTAGTGACAATGTTTGGGAAGGTGATATGGGACCCTTAGGAGATGCAGTCTTGCTGGGGAAAGCATGCAACTGGGGATAGGGTAGGGTGGAGTTTGAGGTTATAGAGTCTGTCCCCTCTCCCTGATAATATATGGTCTCTCTCCTTCCTGACTGCCAGCCTCAGGTTCCTGCTGCTGAGGGGTGGGTCCTGTAGGGACTTGCAGTGCCAGTGATTGGCTAATTGTGCTTTCAGGAGGAGGGCACCTGGGGCTGTTAGTCTGGAGGGGCTCTCACAGTGTTGTCAGGAAGAGGATAAACAAGCATACTGTTCCTGCCAGGTTGGCCCAGGTTCAGGACTTCAGGCAGTGGCCTCTGTGAATGGAAATGTGGCTCCTTTCCTGTTGAACATGCTGTGCTAGATGAAAAAGGTAGACACCCCACAGAATGGGAGAGGGCATATTCCAATCATGCATTCTACAGGGCATTAGTAGTTAGGAGACGTGAGGAACCTCCTACAGCTGAAAAACCAAGATCCAACCTATTCAGAAATGGGCAAAGAACTAGAGACATTTTCCTAAAGGAGGTGCACAAATGACTACTAAGTCCATGAGCGACATTCAGCTGCTGGGCATTAGGAAAATGCAAATCAAAACCATAATGAGATACCAATTCATTCACATTATAAAGGCTATTATAGGGGACTGGAGAGATAGCTCAGCGGTTAAGAGCACTGAGTGGTCTTCCAGAGGTCCTGAGTTCAATTCCCAGCAACCACATGGTGGCTCACAACCATCTTTAATGGGATCTTATGCCCTATTCTGGTATGTCTGAAGACAACAGTGTACTCACATACATACAAATGAATAAATAAATCTTAAAACAACAACAACAACAAAAAACAAACAGAAAACCAAAGGCTATTATAAATAAGGGAGAAAAACTACAAGTGTTTGTGAGAAGCCCATATCCATTGCTAATAGGAACGGAAGCTCCTGTAGCCACTGTGGAAGACACCAGTGTTGGTTGTCATAAAAGTAAACGTAACGGAGCTGGAGAGATGGCTCAGCAGAGGACCTGGGCTTAATTCCCACCTTCATGGTGGCATATGTCTGTCTGGAACTCTAGTTCCAGGGGATCTGATACCCTCTCCTGGCCTTGTCCAGGCCCAGGCACATCCATAGTCTACAGACAGACAGACAGACAGGCAGCCCCCAGCCTCCAAAAAAGTTAAATAAAAAAGACAAGGATTGATCATCTAGTCCAGCAGTGCTGCTTTGAGATATGAACCCAACAGAACGGAATCAAGGGCTCAGGTGGCTGCTCGTGTGTTGACCTTCTCAAAAGCCTCATTCACGAGAGTGGAGAGGCAGAGATAACTGTCTCCCAGGAGTTTGGAATGGATAGACAGAGAGAGAAGCAGACCCAGGCAGTTCACTCTTGAAAGGAAGGTAAGTCTGACAGAGTCGTGCTGTGAGTGACCTTGAAGACATCATGCTGATTGACGGAAGACAGATGCCAAATCAGAAACAACATAACCCCACTTTTACGAGGGAATATGGGGAGCCAGAGGCTAGAAAAAGACATGTCGGGAGCTGGAGTTGTTTGTTCAGGATGATAGAAAGTTGAAGGAATAGTCACTGCACTCCGTGTTCCTGAATTATGTGTCTAAATGGCTTAACTGTTAAATTTAACATCGTGTATACTTTACCACAGTAGGACTTTCTTAATTAGTCCCCATGCTATGGAGAACACCTAGTGGTTTCAAAGATACTGATGACCACAGCTCTTCCTCTGCTGCAGCCCTAACCTCCAAATAAAGCAGGGCTGTCCCTTAGTTTTAGGACTTGTCAGGAGTGAAAAGTTGGGCATCTTGCCACATGAGACCTGCTGCTGAGCTCCAAAGGGAGCCAAGAAAGATCAGAAACTTCAGAAAATATATCCTCTGGTCAGAAGGAACTGTTTGTCCTTCCTTCCTTCCTCCCTTTCCTCCCCCTCTTTCTTTACTTCCTCCCCTTTTCCTCCTTTCCCTCCCCCTTCTTCCTCCCTTTCTGTAAGCCTTACAAAATGTAAAACTACCCTGATTGCCAAGCCCTGGATTAGAGGGATGCTCTAGAAGAAATGATTGAATTAAGGAAGAAGCCACCAGTGAGTGGAGGCTACCATGCTCTGGGGTTGAAGAGGCAGATCCAACAGAATTTGGGGATGAGTGAGTGAGTGTGTGTGCATGTGTGTGCAATGAGTGTGTACAGTGAGCATGTGTGTGAGTGTGTGCAGTAAGTGTGAGTGTGGGCAGTGAGTGTGTGTGTGTGAGCAGTGTGTGTGTGCAGTGAGTGTGTGTGTGAGCAGTGAGTGAGTGTGCAGTGAGTGTGTGTGTGGGCAGTGAGTAAGTGTGCAGTGAGTGTGTGTGGGCAGTGAGTGAGTGTGCGGTGAGTATGTGTGTGAGTAGTGAGTGAGTGTGCAGTGAGTGTGTATGTGTGGGCAGTGAGTGAGTATGCAGTGAGTGTGTGTGCAGTAAGTGTGAGTGTGGGCAGTGAGTGAGTGTGCGGTGAGTATGTGTATGAGTAGTGAGTGAGTGTGCAGTGAGTGTGTGTATGTGGGCAGTGAGTGAGTATGTTTGTGTGTGTATGTGTGAGTGTGTGGGCAGGGAGTGTGTATGTGTGAGTGTGTGAAGTATGTGTGTTTGTGGGGTACTGAGTGTGTGTGGGGCAGTGAGTGTGTGTGGGGGCAGTGCATGAGTGTAAGTGTGTGTATGCTTGTGTTTGCAGTGAGCGAGTATATACTTTGTGTGTGTGTGTGTGTGTGCAGTAGTTAGAGAAACAGCAGGTGAGGAGAGGGTGGGGCTGGTTCACTTTGAAGCATCTGAAGACCACCAGGTGACCTGTCTGGAAAGAGCATGGGGTGAAGGCAGGCTCTAGACCTGGGAGTTACCCATTTGTGTGAGTGGAGAGCTGTAATTGCAGGTGTGGATGTTAAGTTGTGAGGAAGGGACTGTGCCAAGTGAGCAGAGAATGAGTTAGAGACCAGAGCGTGGGAAGAGCAGGTAGGGCACGGAACCTGGAAAACGCTTACATGAAGAGCCCGAAGGAAGGCATGAGGAGGGGCTGGTGCACGCCGCGGCAGTAGGGCCTTGTCAGGAAGCTGAATGGGTACCATAGGATGCAGGATGGCAAACAGTATTCAGTGGTCCCATGTAGCACATGCTGGGGACAGTGGTGGCCCACTTGGAAGAGCAAAGAGACTCTTTTCTATTTATACATCACAGTGAATTCGAGACAGATCAAGGATTTAAATGCAAAACATGAAAGTACAGCCCTAAGTGTGGAAGGCGTTATTTTTACAAGTAACACCAAGAGTTGAGAAGGCCCCTTTTAAAGACACATTAGGAATCTAGGAGCTCCACTAAAAAAAATTGATATTTTTGGCAACATGAAAATTTAAATGTCTATTAAAATTATAAGAGGACAAATCAGGAAAAATATTTGCAAAACGCACCATGCATGCTCCCCACTTATGAAAGCGCAGTTACCTGGAAAAGTGGCTACAGAGGGTGGATAAGGCATTTCTGGGAGAAGAAATACACAGAGGCAGAAAGCTCAGAGTATGCTGATCATCCACAGCAAAGCAAAAGCAGAGCAGATAAAACAACATTAAAAAACGAAGCAAGGTTAACAGTGAATACTGTATACGCATCCATTGTCTTTCAACAGTCCTCATGAAACACTGTTGCAGGTAAGAGCAATAGGTTCTTATGTGGCTGTCACTACAGAGTTTGCCCATGCATTAGTCTTCTAGGGTCTGTAGCTGATCACCTTTCCAAGGTGGCTGACACTTAAAGTCCTGACCACTGCTTCCCAGAATTCTGTCACTGTATCTTGGTCTTGCTTTTCCGTGGGAGTTCTTTCCACCCCAGCATGGGAGACATGTCCCCCTGG